TATGGGAATCATTTTATCGATGGTTAGAGAATAAATATAAGGAGTAAAATCAGGTGTGTAAAAATGCATGAATAGAATTAACACAATTCATAGAGCTAAATAAAAAGTAAAAAGAGGTTTGTTATAGGATTAGATATTTAAAATATTGGTGTTAAACCGGAATGGATAAAATAATGAATAGGACTGTAAATTTGAATTGTTATTGCGCAAAATATTTGTACCCAGACGACACACTGTTGAATGGACAGTGGATTGCTTATATTATTATAATAAAATAAAAATGGACAGCTAGCTAGAATTGTATTTGCACAAAATTGGAAAAGCAAAGAGATTCCCACAGAGGAGAATGTGATTAGGAAAATATTTAGAATGTACAGAAATGAGTCGATTAAAACTAGCAATTAAAGAGAAAGAACAATGATTATTATCTTATATGGGGATCATTTTATCGATGGTTAGAGAATAAATATAGGAAGTAAAATCAGCTGTGTAAAATGCATGAATAGAATTAAAACAATTCATAGAGCTAAATAAAAAGTAAAAGGTTTGTTATAGGATTAGATATTTAAAATATTGGCATTAAACAGGAATGGATAAAATAATGAATAGGATTGTAAATCTGAATTGTTAGTGTGCAAAATATTTGTACCCAGATGACACACTGTTGAATGGACGGTGGATTGCGCACATTATTATAATAAAATAAAAGCTTAAAATAGATTGCGATGTGTAGATTGTGTGAAAACAGGCTTTTCATGGGTTCAAAACTAAGAATCCTTCCGCACCGTTCTTCAGTCCCACCACTTCCGATGCTGCCTCTCCCACCTCCACCCGTGCAATTACGTCGGCTGAGCACAATGGGCTTTGTGGTTTAACTCTCTAAATAACTTCACACGTAACGCACACCTGACCCCATAAATTCAAGCCCAATTTGGAAGACGGGAAGAAACCGATTAACTCCAGCCGCCTGCCAACTCGTTTCCGTTCTCAAACCTCCACACAGGCTTCCTATCATCTCAAATTTGGGATAAAACTAAGGGGAAAAAACAACAAATACAGAAAAAATATAAACACTGCAACTATCTCAGATCCAGGAAGTTCCTGCAGGAAGAAAAAAAAAAACACCACACCATGTTTGGTCTAATCCTCCAATGCCACTTTCTCCTCCACAACTATGGCCAGTTCTCGACTTGTGACTGCAATTGAGCCCAAAGGTTCTGTCATTAAGCGAGGCCTTTTCAAAAGGCCTTCTCCACATTTTTAACGACCTTTTTTTGCCACGGTTGTTAAGCGAATCCTTCCAGTTGGTCAGTTAGTAATCTGGTTGTTAAGTGAATCGGGCTTCCCCCATACGGTTTTGTCAGGAGGTCGCAAAAGGGGATCACGCAACCTCGGGACACACCGCGACGGGTGTAAGTATGAACTAGTTGCCAAGCATCTGGATTTTGATCATATGACAGTTGTAAATGTGAAAAAACCCAGTCCTAAGCCACATTATTCAATGCCGTCGGAACTTTGAACCGTCGCTAAACGGACCGTTGTAAGTCGAGGACGGCCTGCACTCAAAGTCAAGGGGGGAAAGCACTCTGTGCATGCTCAGGGGAGGCGGTGCCTAAAAACTATCCATAGCCTATTTTTTTACATCTTGCCATTCCCTAAGGACTCAGGGGTTGGACTAGAAGACCTCTAGGGTCCCTTCCAACTCTGTCATTCCGGCTCTGTTGTGGAAAAGGGAACTCTGTCCATGCTCAGGGACTCCAGGCACAACGCCTTGCCCGCTTGCAACCGTCTCCGGAGCGAGGGCCGGGGCTTCCAAGCCTCCTCGCCCCGAGCCTCTCCGGCTGCAAAGCCCTCCAGCCCACCGGCGGCTTCCCCTCCGCGGAGCAGCCCAGCCCGCCTTACCTTCGCCCGGCTTTCCACTTTGCCCAGGAGGCGCCTTCCAAGCGCGGCGGAGCCCCGGGAGCCTCGGCGGAGGGAGCGAGCGAGCGAGGCTGCCTCCTTCCTCCTCCTCCCGCCGCCGCTTCCTTCCTCGCCTGCGCCGCTGCCTCCCGGCTGGAGCCCCGCTCCGTCCCCGGCGCGGCTTTAACCCTTCGGGCTGCGCTGGCTCAGCTGCGCCAGGAAAGTTGCGGGCGGGGAGGGAGGGAGGGAGGGAAGGGTGGGGGAGGGAAGGGTCGGTGGCTGCAGGAGGGGCGCGAAAGCCCCGAGCTCTTCTCGGGATGGTGGTTTGCTTCGCTCCCCAAGTGGATTGGCCCGCTTCGCACCTCACGCAGACACACACGCACAAAGTCACACACACAGAGACACACAACACACATACACAACACACAGAGAAAGACACAGTCACACACAGACACAACACACACAAAGTCACACACAACACACACACACAAAGTCACACACAGACACACACAACTCAGACACACACACGCACAGGCACACAACCCACATACACAACACACAGAGAAAGACACACAGAAAGTCAGACACAACAGACACAAAGTCACATACAGACACACACAACTCAGGCACACACACAGACACACAACCCACATACACAACACACAGAGAAAGACACACACAAAGTCACACACAGACACACACAACACACAGAGAAAGACACACAGACACAGTCACAGACACACACACACACAGGCAAATACATACAGACACACAACACACACAGACACACACAGACACACAACACACACACAAAGTCACAGACACAGATGCACACACATACGAGACACACACACACGACATACACACACAGAGAGATGCAGTCACAAATACAGTCACAGATGCACAGACACACACAACACACACACACAAACACAGACAGACACATACACAACACACATACACACAACACACAACACACAGACAGACACACACAGGCGCGCACACACACACACAGACACACTCAACACAGACACACACACACACGGACAGTCACACACACAGAAGCACACACACACACAGAGACACAAACGGACACACATACACACACAACACACGTACACACAACATACACACACAGTCACAGAGACACAGTCCGTTTTCAGGCCATTTTCGGGCCCCAAAACAACCTGTTTTGGGGCCGTTTTTGGCTGCTTTTCAGGCCGTTTCCGGCCGGTTACTGAATGAACTCATGCAGGGAATCATCATATTATGACCACAGAGCCCAACGCTGATGTCGCTAAACAAAACATGGGTTAAGTGGGTTTCACCCCATTTTACCACTTAACAGTTGTTAAGCCAGTGTTTCTCAACCTTGGCCACTTGAAGATGTCCGGACTTCAAATCCCAGAATTCAAGTGGCCAAGGTTGAGAAACACTGGCTTAACAACTGTTAAGTGGTAAAATGGGGTGAAACCCACTTAACCCATGTTTTGTTTAGCGACATCAGCGTTGGGCTCTGTGGTCATAATATGATGATTCCCTGCATGA